AGGCTATAGTCTTTGCAATTACATGCTATGCATCGGAGAGTTGCACAGTGAATAGGGATGGTAGAAAGATAATTGATGCCTTTGAGTTGTGGTGCTGAAGAAGAGTGTTGAATATACCATGGACTGCTAGGGAACAAACAGGTTTGTCCTGGAGAGGGTGAAGCCAGAATGCTCCCTGGAGTCAAGGATTCTGAAGCTTCATCTGACATACTTTGGGCATGTTGTAAGGAGGGACTGACTGGTCCTTGGAGAGGGACATCATGTTTGGGAGATGGGAGGCACGGCGCAGGAAAAGAAGACCCTCGATGAGATGGATCGATTCTGTGAGTGGAGTGGTGGGAATGAATGTGTTTGAGACAGCGAGGTTGGCACAGGATAGAATGGCATTTAGGGCTCTTGTACATAGGGTCGCTATGAGTCGCAAATGACTTGATGGCACATAATAACAACAACAACACAATTATCACAGACATCTACAATTTTCTGTAGTTTAAATGATACTTAGTATAATATTGTTACTCAAATTTTTTTAATACTTTCTTAGTTGCAAAATTTAATATTATTTGTATTTATTCATTTTAGGTTTTTTGTTTCATTTTTAGATTCTGAGGTCATACTGCCAAATCTATAAACAGAAAATATTTTGACAATTTTCCCCAATTTTGTTATCTGAACAGTAATAACTATTTTTAATGCATTTGCTTTTGTACACGTCACATCATGTTAAAATTGCTTTTATGACTCACAAAAACTTCAATTTAATTATGTGTTAATAATTTGTTCCCCAAAAGAAGAATTTAGAGAATCAAAAGATGAAATGTGATTGCAGGGAAAATGGGAAAATTAAACCACCCTTGCGTAAGGATTAAGTAACAACTTTTCTCTCCAGTGTCTTTAAGTATCCTCTTCCTTTCCAAGTGTAAAATGTTGTGTTCATGCTGTAATGTTAATGATGAATAAATTAGCCGTATAACTACAAGGCTTTTATTGCCCTTGGAGAATGAAGGGCACTAATTAAACAAAGTTCTTACCTTTTTAAAACATAAGGGTGAAGAAAAAGGCCCAAGGGCTGGATTAGCCATCACCAACAATTTGTTTTTAACAATTTATTTTTAAATGCAATTCTTATTTTTCTCGCACTTAGTGTAAACAAATATATATGTGTACAACAGGTCATATTTTTAAATACAGGATGCATTTAATTGTGACTCCAAAGTCTAGATTAGGGCGCACGCACCAGCAGCACATTAGACCTCACCTTTGGACTTTTTTTTTTTTGCAAAAGCGAAACGGGCTAGACGGGTCCACGTGACGGGAGTGACGTAAAGCTCCCCGATGTCCCCGCCCGCCTGTCGCGTGACGGACACCCAACCTTTCTATTTCCCCGCCCCCGTTTTCTTCGGTGGAGCCGCAAATCTCGCGAGAATCTGCCTTACTATCAGAACTTAACTGAGGTTACAGGGAGTTATTCAGAAGAGAAGGGAAGGTGTGGCTGAGTGGCAGAGTTTTTACTTTCTTTCTATTCACATTCATGGCTGTAGCAAAGGCCTTTGAGAACTGCCAGGGTCTGACCAACCCGGCCTGGAAGCCGGAGGGGGAGGTAGAGATTGAGGTTGCAGTCAAATCGGTAGTGAAACGTGGCGCACGCCAGCATCGCCCCTCACTGATGGTGCTGCGGGGGAGGGAGACTACGCGCTGGGCGCCTGGGAGCCGGCCGAGTGGCGAATGCGGCTTCCGCTCGGGTGGGTCCAGACCAGGGATGGAGGCTGTGGGAAGCTGGGAACCTTCTTTGGAAGCGGCCAGCTGCCCACATCCGGCTCCTGCTTTACACACTGAGCCATGCCGAGATCAAGTGGTTGCGCCCCTCCCCTCCCACTTGAGAACCATGGCCATGGACTTGATCTAGGGCGGTCCCCAGGACCTTACGCCCCAAATAGGCCAAGGCTTCTGTGACTCTCAGAGACTGCTGGGCTGTTTATAAGTTGTCCCGAATCTCTCTCTTGAAAGGCAATAAAGGGTTTTAAATGGCTAATTTTGACATCTCACGATGGTCACTCAAATCTCCCACCCAAATTCTCCACGCTTGTTTCACCTGGTCCCTTCCCTAAACAGGCTTTTTCGGGTGTAAACCAAGGAAGGCGAGTGCTCCGCAAAGGGAGAGGGTAGTATCGCTAGAGGGAGGTGTGGGACCAGTGAGGAAGGGGCTTCTCGAGGGAGGGGCTGGTGCCTGGGAGGGAGCGCTGATAGGAGGCGCTGCTGGCGAAGAAGGCGGAGGCCTGGGGACGGCAGGCGAGCCGAAAGCTGTCTCTCCAGAAGCCCGTCTTTAAGCCGCGCGGGTTCGCGCCGTGCGAGAGGCTGCCGAGGCACCCGAGTCCCCGCCAGTGCCGCCGCCACCCACGGGCTAGAGGCCAGCGCCAAGCCCACGCTCGGTCAGAGCCCTGCGCGCCCACTGATAGCTGCAGCTGGGCTCCGGTAGTACGCTCCCAGATCGGGGGCAGCCTCGGCCCCTCGGCACTCCGCCCCGCCCCCTCGGCTTCCCTCCCCTCCGCTCCTACCCCTCCTATCCCTGGTAAGGAACGTTTCGCAGCTGCTCGCCTCTCCCGGTGCCCGGCTCTTTTTCCATTTTCCGGGCTCCTCTTCTTGAGTACTTTGACTTCATCTGGGGCGAGGGTCTGGAAAGGGGTCTGGTGGACCTTAGAGAGAAGAAGGAAGTGAAGCACCGAGGGGGATAGGATCAACTGACTGCGGGGAGGAGACCCCCACGCCACCGTTTCTGGGCATCTCCGCTCCCGCCCCGCCCCTGCGCACACTCCTTGCCGGGCGAGCTACTTTCCGACGAGAAAAGTGAGGGCGGCCCTAGGTGACAGCTCGGCGGCGGGGCCAGTCCCGGGAAAGCAGCACATCTGCTCGAGTCTCCTCCACCACCTTCCAGCCAGAGGCACTGCCTGGACCGAGATGGCTTCGACCACAACCTGCACCAGGTTCACGGACGAGTATCAGCTTTTCGAGGAGCTCGGAAAGTAAGCGCCTTTGCCTGTCATCGCATGTCCCCTTTCCAGCAAAGGGCGAGTCGCGTTGCCCCTGACCCAGTACCCTCGGCCATGGGGCGTGGGAGTTTAGGGCATCAGGGGAGAGGGAGAACCCCTGGATTGTTAGCTCTGGCAGCTTTAGCAAGGGGAGGGGTCAGAGAAGGGGAAAGCCCCCCCTTCTCGACTGGGATCCATTCTAATCTCTGCTCCACCTTCCCACCTTGCTTCACCTAAAGACTTTGTGAATTTACGATCTCTGCAGTTGTAGCTGTCATCCTGAGAGAGTGTGTGTGTGTGTGTGCTTGTGTGTGTGTGTGTGAGAAAGTATGAGAGTCCGCGCGCTCCGCGTGTAGAGGAAACGAATCCATGTAAAATGCAACATAGATATGTTTTCTGTAAATAGAGATGTCTCTGGGTTAGCCAACGTGTGGGAAGTAAGACTCAAATAGGGATGAGAACTCATTGCCACGGAAGGTGCCATATTAATTGATGCCGAAAGTTCAACTTGGCATAATCTATTTCGCATCTAACAGTTCTGTCCAGGAAATGGGCCACCCAGTGGAACACAACCTTTTGCCCCCATATCCCCTTGTTGTTCTTTGCTCCAGATTACTTGCACACACCATCGTCCTCAGGGTTTACGTGTGCATCTTCGCATTCTGTGGGAGGATTTATTTATACAGGCAGCTGAAAAGCCCTCTGGTGACCAGGAAAGCACTTCCTAAGGGTAGCCTGGTTTTGTGTAAAAAGACTTCAAACACACCCAACTAGCAGAAATAGTTAGATGGGTCAGAAAAAGGGGGGTGGAGACCTGGAAAATTGTGTAAAGGGACGTAGGGGCTCAGCTGTGAATCTTGATTTTTATGTAGCATCCAACCCAATTCTTCCATCAATAGTTTGGGCTATTACTTTTGAAAGGAGAGCGTCTTAAGTATACGTTTCTGGATTATAAGAAATGTAAATGTCTTTTAAATGTAATGAGAACTATGCTTATTTTATTGTCTGCTGTTAAAACATGGAGACTATGTCGGAAGAGCAGCTTAATTCAAATCTCTCCCCTCCCCCAGCCCAAAACTGTACATAGAGAAATCATCAAGCCAGGATTTGTTGAAGCACACAAATGTGCTCAAGCTTTATATTTTAATGAAAATAATCACTGTATTTATTAACTTAACAGCCACATTTCCCCACCACCTAATAAATAGGCAGCACATTTATGCCGCTCCTCATCAGCTCTGTTCTTTGCAGGATTTTCTCAGCGCATTTGGTGTTGTGTGAGTGAATTATAAAGTGCTTTCAAATTCCATATGCATATAAGAGCAGTCATAATTGGCAATTCTTTTCATTTTGTAGATTATGTGGACTACCTCCTAAAGAAAACTTAACTTGTATTTTTCCTTCAACAATAAATAAGGCCTGGGTTTCCAGGAAAAATTTTCATTTTCTGGCTATTTCTGTAGTGCACTAATACTTGACAGTACATTAAAAATCAATGTAAATGATCAGATGGTCGATGGTTTTTGTTTTTGTTTTTTTTGGTAGCAGATCAGAGCTTATTATATTGATGACTTGCTAATTATTGGTTTTCAGAGGGGCGTTCTCAGTGGTGAGAAGATGTATGAAAATCCCTTCTGGACAAGAATATGCTGCCAAAATTATCAACACCAAAAAGCTCTCTGCGAGGGGTGGGTATTTTCAACCACATATATGTGAATTTTCTTCTTGTCATGTTGCTTATTGTTTCTGTTGTATGTAAATATGTCATGGTTATAATCTAATTGTAGACTTAGGTATCATGTTACATATTCAGGTTATTTCCTTTCTGAATGACATTTGGTTTGTATACTTTAAAAAGGATTGAAACACATAACTGTTATTTAATAAATTGTTACAAAAATTTGGTCTGTAATATTAACAGTAGTACAAATAACTATATTTTCACGCTACTCAAGAACACTAAGTGCATTTTGCTTTCAATTTTAGTGTGAAAGAACTTTCTGAAGGACCCTGGGATGGAAAAAATATGTCTCACAATTGTCATAATTTGCTTTTGAGAGGAAAAATAGGTCATAGCTCAGTTGAATCATATATTTCAACTGTAGTTACATTTGAACTTAATTTGCCAAGGCATATTTAACAGTAATAGTTTATTATTACTGTCTTCTAGGAAGTTCATCTTAATTTGAATGTTTTTGTATGCAGTTCAGACTTGTTTGATCTTCTGCTTTAAGTTTTCTCGCAGTGGCATGTAATGTATTTTGTACATGGAATTTATAGTCACAGAGATAATTTCTAAAATAGCTGTTGACATAAATAAAAGCAAAAACTAAACAAAAAAAAATGGAGTAAACTCACTGTGGTCTTAACATTTTGTCAGGCTCCTGTAAAAATATTTATACTGAAATGTTACATCTTGATTATGACCACACGTCTGTTTTCGAGGGAGTTTATAGTTTGACAAATGAAAATGAACAAATTGCCTTTAATGTAAGCCCATCGCAGTGACCTGATTTATTTAACTAATGAGGGAACAAATTCCATTAGGGTTAGCTTACTTATTTTACATGTTTTAAGGAGAGCTTCTTCCTCCTAGTATCATCACTTGTACTCTCTGCTATGATTAGCTTTTCTGTATTTGTTGCAAATACTGGCTTTAAATTATGCTTAAGGTATATGTAAGCACTTCAGTTTATTTCTTTGGATGAAATTTTGTTGTAATTGTCCTGATTTTAATGTGATTCTGAGGAAGTTCTTTATGGTAAACTAACTACCACTGTTGACTCATGCTATGAGAAATGAGAAACACTGTATACTAGTTTTGTTCTGTTCACCTCTATTCCAAGAGAAGATTTTAACAATGAGAAGGAATGGCTAAAGTGTACATATCGTTTTAGTTTTTTAATAAAAGGGAGAAGAATGTAAATGTGTAGTTAAATTGTTTTAGTGCTTATATTATTTACTCTGTTTTGAAGCACCTTTGACATGAATGAGTATCAATTTTTGGGGAGCTTGCAACACCTTTCCTTAATCTTTCTTTGGTTTTACATTTTCTTTTGAAAGCAATCCATCATGAGCTTCACTTTTATTAATTTTCATAATTAGAGCCATCTCTCTGTCCACTGAAGGTCATACCTTCTGCACTATAACTGGAAAGATGGATTAGAAGAGATCTATATTTGTGTGAATTGCAAAAAAGGATGATCCAATGTAAAGCAGAAATTACCAAACCTTGTCATTAGTATCAGGAAGCTCTGGTGGCTTAGTGGTAAGGAGTTGCATAGCCAACTCAAAGGCACTTGGTTTGAATCTACCAGCTACTCCTTGGGAAAAAGATTGGGCAGTCTCCTCTTGTTTGATTTGCTGTCTCTGAAAACCCACTGGAGGGTTCACATAGGAGTTGGTTCCAGCTTCATAGTACACAACACCAGCATCATTTGTATCACAGGAAAGTGATATGATATGGAACTAAAACAGGCAAACCAAAAAGCACCCTAAACAAAATGAATTATTATAGCAGTACATTATTCAGAAACTAAGAAATTTAATCTAAATTCAGAATAGAACTTGGAATGAGGGTTATCATTGCTGATATCAAGGGAATGTTGACTGAAGGCTGAGAATACCAGAATGAACTTTACCTATATTTTATTTACTATGGAAAGACATTTGACTATGTGGATCATAATATATTAAAATAACATGGTAAAGAAAGAATGGGAATGGGTAAAGAACTTTTAACTTTGCTCCTTCAGAATCTGTATATAGACCAAAAGACAGTCCTCCATACAGAACAAGGGATTTCCTAAAGCTTAAAACCAGGAAAAGTATTTGTCTAGGTTTTATGTATCTTTTCATCATACTTATGAAGTTTAGTAAAACTGTGCAGTAAAATTTAGGCAGTTTTTACTTAATGCTGGGCACATAATTGTAGAGGCAAGATTATATGTAGAGGAATTTAATTTTAGGATTGGAGCAAGATTTATTAACCACCTACCTAATCATATAACACAATCGTACTTGCTGGAGAAGAGTGTTGAATATACCATGGACTGCTAGGGGAACAGACAGATTCATCCTGTAGAAGGTGAGACCAGGCTGTCCCTTGGAAGCAAAGATTCTGAAGCTCCATCTGATGAACTTTGGGTATGCTGCAGCATGTTGTAGGAGAGACCACTCCTTGGAGAGGGATATCATGTTTGGGAGGGTGGAAGGATAGTGCAAGAAAGGAAGACTCTGAATGAGATGGATTAACTAATTGGGGTAATGGGCGTAAGTATGTCAGAGATAGTTAGGTTGACTCAGGATAGAGCAGAGTTCAGAGCTGTTGTGCACAGGGTAACTATGACTCTCAAGTGATTCTGTGGCACATAACAACTTGCCAGAAGCAAAGAGGAAGCACTTACTAATGAAGATCTTGATGACAGCTACATCTTTCAGAATGGATTAAACTTTAACCCAAAGGGAAAAGAAATCCTCCTAACTTGACCAATAAGCAACTGGTAAATGGAAAACATTGAAGTTGTTTGGGATTTCATTTTACTTGTATACAGATTCATTGTTATGGAAGCTGCAGTTATGCAGTCAGATGATATATTGCATTGGACAAATGTGTTGCAGAATAGCTCTTTAAAATGTTTAAGGCGGTTTGAGGACTCATGTATGCCTGACTCAAGCCAGGGTATTTTCAGTAGCCTCTATGCATGTGAAAGCTGGACAATGAATAAGGAAGACCAAAGAAGAACAGATGCCTTTGAATCGCGATGTTGGCAAAGAATATTGAATAAACCATGGACTGCCAGAAGAAGGAACAAATCTATCCCTGAAGAATTTCAGTCAGAATATTCCTGAGAGGTAAAGATGGTGAGAAGGACTTCATGTTCAGTAAAGAGGAAGGCCAGTGAGAAAGAACAAAACTTCAGTGATATGGATTGACATAGTAACTACAATAATGAACTAAACTATGGCAATAAAGAGAATGATATGGGACTGGTTAATATTTCATTCTGTTCTATATAGGATTGCTATGACTTGGAACCATCTGGAAAACACTTAATCACAGTGATGACACCAGAATGTAAATATTTTTGTCCATTCTTATATACCTTTTAATGTGTTAGATACATCCTTTCTAGATTGAATTCCTTTCCCTCTGCTGTTATTTCTCACTTTTTCACATTCTGCTTCTAAGTACCATAAAAACTGAGAAACTTCTAACTGTTCTCAGTTTAATGATTCTAATTACACCAGCTGCACTGAGGAAAAGTAGCGAGGATAAAAAGCTAGAAAACATGCATTTTTTTCTTCTTCTGTGCAAAGCTCCAACTTGTTGGCTGCCGTTGAGTCCATTCTGATTCATAGTGACCCTCCATCAAGATTCTGAGGCTGTAAATCTTAACTGGAGAAGACGGATTGCTTTTCTGTAGAAGAACCACTGGTGGACTCAAACTACTAGAGACAGACAACCTTTCGGTTAGCAGTGCAACTCACTGTGGATTACTCCACCGGAGTGCCTTTCCTCTGTTAAGGATGTTCAGTAATATTCTGTCAAAGAATGAGGTGGTAAAGAAATTAGCCCTGAAACCAGATGCTCTTGGTTTGAAGTCCGAGTCCTTTACCAATTACTGTTTGAGTTTTGAGATATTTTCTTTGAGCCTCATTTTTCTCCATTGTAACATGGAGTAATAATCGTATGACCCTACCCTATACTTTGAGGACTGAATGAGTGAATACACCATAATCAAAGCCTGTCTTTTAATATGTATCCAACAAATGTTAGCTGCCATTAATATTTGATAGAGTTATTGTTAAAATCAAGTGAGGTTACTTATGTGACAGAAATTGGTATTTATAAATCCAATGACAGCTTTGGTTTACTGTGAAAATCTGATTTGAATTCTGGTTTTATTGTTTAAAGTGTAAACGTGGTTCAGTCACTCATCTACTTACTCAGTACTGTTGTTGTGTGCCATTAAGTTGAAATGGACTCATAATTGACCATCAGTTTTTCAGAGACAGAATGACGTGGGAAGAGATTGCCAGCCTCCCATAGACAGCTGGTGATGCAGACTCTTGGGATTGCAGCACACCTTCTTAACACTAGACCACCAACGCTCTCTGTTAGTAAAATGTTAAAGTGTACTGTCCAGTTGGGAGTGACATGCTTTTGGGACTGTAGTGCAGCTTCTTACCACTAGGCCGCCAGAGCAGGGAATATTGTAGAGTGTTTTGAGGACTCAGTGAATTTTATAGAAACACATCTTAAAAATATTTTCTCAGTTTTAACTATTACAGTTGTTCACTATAAAATAGTACTTTCCTTCCAAATATTGGATAGGTCTTTATATCCTACATCAATTAAAATTGCTATAGGGTATTTGTACCTTTGAATGTATTTATGATCTATTTTAAAATTGTTAAATTACTAAGTTCTGAAAGCACCTATCTTTATTTAAGAATGACTTAAAATTGTTGTTATTGTTGCTAAGTGCCATCGAGTCGCAGGCGACTCATAGCGACCCTTTAAAAATACAATCTTACAGCTTTGTGATGTAGGAAGGGCTCAGTACAGAGGGACTCTGATCAAAAATGTTCATTCAGTCATTTATAAAGAACTTAAGCAGCCACTTTATTTTTAAGAGCTTACAAATGCTGGAAGTAAGCTATAAACCAGTATATATGCTTTCAA